CCATCTTGGGAGCTGGGGGTGCAGTCCATATAGGGCAACTCCCAGGCACAGAGGAGGGCAGAGACAGTGGGAATGGACTCACAGGGGCAAAGGAGGATATGACGATATGCAGCATATAGCACTTTTTTTTTGCCTTGTCATTCCTCTGATGAGAAATCTGCAGTGACTTCCTATTCTATATTGGGTTAAACCTGGTATTCAAGAAATTCCACAACAACCCAATCTAATTCAGCCTTTTCCCTTCCTAGTCTATAGAGAGCAGGCATTCCACTCACCTGAGGTGGTATCCTAACCCTTCACATGCGTTTTATATATTATATACGTTGCACATATTTAAAAGACTTAGTCACTGATTTATGTTACTCAGAAATCCAAGTCCAAAGGGACTTTCATACTTCTGGGAACAAGCATCCTCCCAGGCCTCTCCTGGGCACTTGGCAGCCTGCCAGTTGGCAGCCTGTGCTGGGAGCCATGATAGCCCGGCTGGTCCTGAGGTAACAAATGGACCCTCTCATTGCCAAGGGCACAAACTAGGAAGGCTCCGGTACAGTGGCAAGAGCTCAGGCTCTGAATCTAGAGAGACTAGGTTTAAACTCCGGCTGGGTTTTAACTCCAGTTACTGACTAGACTAGTTACTTCTGCCCTCTGAGTCTGTCTGTCCTCGTTTGTAAAACAGGGATAATTCTAACAGCACTTTACTGCGGGAAGGATTCATTGAGATGATGAATGTAAAGAGACCGGCACAGGTCCACAGGTGCTCACCTGGGGAAGGGAGGTGTTCTACTCGCCTTTAAACCTCTGCACCTAGCACAGTTCCTGGAACTCGGTAGGTGCTTGGTGTTTCCTGGCCTGAACTGATGGCCGCTTAGAAGATGTGGGAGCTGGTGGTGGTGGCCAGTTCCTAGGTAGCTAATGCTCTCTCGCCTCGGTCTTTGCCAGGCTCCCTCTGCCTACCACGGAAGGGTTTTGAAGGTGACTGTGCGTCAGCAATCCACTCAACGCGATTTCCCCAGCACCCTCTCTGCATAAGGGTCTGCGATGCCTTAGCTGAAGTCAACAGCAGAGAATCTCCGGTCGCATTTTATTTCCCATATCTGGGTTTACACTGCCCTCTGGTGTACTCTTACGGGACAAGCACATTACATGAGGGTTTGGGGTGGGTGACCTTTTCTTGACATTGGGGATGGACATTGAGGATGCTCCCTTGTACAGACTGTCTGCAGTGCTGCTGGGGGGAGGAGTAGTGTTTAAGACATACCCCCCGATTTAGATGACAGTGCTTGAGGATTACCAAACACCGAGGCTTTTGACCAGTCTTTCAGACCCCTCAGCCATCCAATGCCATCCTTCCGGGCTCAAGTTTTTCTCTGCCACAGGCACTTTTTGTTTTACCAAGACCCAAGAAGAATGGGGTAGAGTTTATTCGATATCTTTCCCCGCTGCTGTCTGCTTTCCTCTAATCCATGGGTGCCTAATTCTTATGGCTGCCTCGGTTGCTCTCAGGGTCTGGGGTGGCAGGAGGTGTCCCGGCCAGGGGAGAACCAGGACCAACCCTTCCCAGAGCCACACTAGGTCACTGAAAGCAAATTGGAGTCCCATAGGGGAAGCATTGAAGGGGGAAAGTAGAGCTTAAAGTTCAGTCCACCTTCCTTGACCTCACCATGAAACCTGCCAGAAGCATCTACCTTTCACGATTTTTTTTTTTTTTTTTTTGAGACAGAGTCTCATTTTGTTGCCCAGGCTAGAGTGAGTGCCATGGCGTCAGTCTAGCTCACAGCAACCTCAAACTTCTGGGCTCAAGCAATCCTACTGCCTCAGCCTCCCGAGTAGCTGGGACTACAGGCATGTGCCACCATGCCCGGCTAATTTTTTCTATATATATTAGTTGGCCAATTAATTTCTTTCTATTTATAGTAGAGACAGGGTTGCGCTCTTGCTGAGGCTGGTTTCGAACTCCTGACCTCCGCCTCGCCTCGGCCTGCCTCGGCCTCCGCCCGCCTCGGCCTCTCAGAGTGCTAGGATTATAGGCGTGAGCCACCGCGCCCGGCCTACCTTTCATGATTAAGTTGAATCACGTGAAATTGCTGATATGCAATAGTGTTTGACCTACCATATGGCAATTTCATATGGTTCAGTGTAATATTTCACAGGTAAATCCTGCGTGTGCTTGTGGTGGCTGGAGTCCCAGGCTTCCTGAGCTCATTCAGGTCCAGGAAAGCCAGGCTCATGGCACATCCCAGACTGTAGAGCTGGAAGGAGGGCCCTAAAGCCAGAGAGATGGTTTGGTTGACGTCAAGGACCTGGGACTGATCACGTTCCTTGCCTCAGGCCCCCAGCCCCCTTGCAGATTCTTGTGGTGACTTTCAGGCTGGGCTTGGTTTGGAGCACAAAGTCAGGGGCCTGTGTGGGAACCCGGGAGAAGGCCTTCTCCACCGACAGTGCTTAACTCTTCCAGCTACATGGCCAAGATTTTCTGGAAACTTCAGGAGGCCTCAGCTTCTGGGCACACCCAGCACCCCCCACCCTTGCCTCTGCTGCCGAACCCTGGCTGGGGGGCTCTTGTGTGCAGGAAGCTTCCGGGCCCAGTCCTGGGCACCCACAAGCTGTGGGGGTGACCAAGCCCAGGAGAGCCCAGTTCTGCAGCCCTAGAACTCCTTACGTGGCTCTGGTGACCCGACAAACCTCGGGGATGGCTGCCCGAGCAGGTCTGGAACAGCAAGATCTAAAACTTGCCCAAGGGATGAGAGCAAAGTGGCCTGGGAGGTGTTAAGCAGCAGAGTAAGGGACAGTTTATGAGTCGCAGTTCACAGGACTCATTGAGGACAAGAAAGTCTCCCTTCTGGGATTCGCTCATCTGCCTTGCAATCACGGGACCAACAGAAAGGTCTTGGTATCTTGGGACCTGGTGGTGCAGGTTAGGGACCTGTTCTCCGTCTTCCCAGGAGGATGCAAACAAGAGAGGGAGGGGCTCAGCCTAGACCATTTAATCATCCACCCACCCACTCACTCATTTATTCATTACTTAAACAAATGGTTACTGAGCATCTATATGTGCCAGGTATTGTGCTAGGCGCTTGGGATATAGCAGGGGACAAAACAAAAAAAATCTCTGCCTTCCTGGTGAGGCATCATCTTGAGTCAAGCCATTAGTTACTAAGCTGTTGCCCAGCTAACATGTCTAATACAAAGTTGTTACCTATTCTACCATGGGATCATTAAACAGGTGAAATATTTTTTTAACACTATAAGGGGGAAATGCTCAGGATATACAATCATCCCTCTGTATCCCCAGGGAATGGTTCCAGGACCCTCCTCCCATGCCAAAGTCCACAGATGCTCAAGTCCCTGTTAGAAAAAGGCATAGCATTTATATACAAGCTATGCAATCCTCCCATATAGTCCTTTCAATCTCTAGATTTCTTATAATGCCTATTACAATGTAAATGCTATGTAAGTTGTTATTATACTGTATTTTTATTTGTATTATGTTTTATGGTTGTATTGTTATTTGTTTTATATATATATATATATATATATAAACATTTTCAATCTATGATTGGTCAAATTTGTGGATTCAGAACTCTCCGATAAGGAGGGCTCGCTGTAATGTTAAATTTTTAAAAGCCTGATAAAAAAACTGTGTAAATATGTAACATGATTCCAATTATGTTAACATACATGTGCACAGACAAGGGGCAGAGAGGAAACAGGCCCTAAATATTAGCAGGGTGGCTTGTATTTTCCAGGATGGCCACAACAAGATCCCCTGTCCCCTAAGCTTTTCATACAAGGTGACCTTGATCCTCCCATTGGGAGGTGGGGTCTGAGTCCCCTCTCCATGAACGTGTGACTGTGGAGGTAGTATCACTCTGCCTAGTCCTGCTGGGATGTTCACATTCCCATCGCAGACACTGGTGTGAGGAAGCACATGGAAACACCACACAGAGGTGAGCTGGCAAAAGCCCCAGCTGAGGCCTCAGCTGACAGCCAACATCAGTCACCAGACATATGAGCTAGGAGGCTCCAGCCACCTCTGACTGCAATTGTATGAGAGACCCCCAAGCACAAGCAGCCTAGCCTAGCCGGCCCCCTGAATCAGAAGATAAAAATGATTGCTGTTTAAAGCAACAGAGTTTGGGGGTGATCTGTTATACAGCAACGATATCCAGAAAAAATATTTAATTTCTGGATTGTGGGATTATGGGTATTAACAAATACTTTCCCATGTTTTCCAATATTTCTACAATGAGAATTTCTTTTATAATCAGTAAAAAATTCATTAAAAATAGTAACATGGTCTAATATTTTTTCACTTTATCAAGGGAAAACTGGGGCTAAACGTGAATTTGGGGATTTCAACTAGCCTTGGAGAAAAAGCTTTCTATGCAAGATTCATTAGACACTGGAAAGGGTTAGGAAGATAAATTTAAATCTGTATGATGGAAAGTGGTGGATTTGGAATGAGGAAACTTGGAAATGAATCTCGGTTTTCTGGGTGACCTTGAGCAAGCCTTTGCTCAAATTCAGTTTTCTATTTTGAAAAACGCAGCTGGCTGCTTACGGAGGATAACACCCACTAGGGCGCCTGGTCCAGAAACTCGCTCTGTAAGTGGGAGGTGGATCCTGTCTAATCAATGCCAATTATAAGCCGGCATCTCTGCAGGCTTTGGGGAGGGCGCGCCCTTCACTGCCACCGGAGGCTACAGTTCTAATAATGAAAATTGCTTGGAAAAGAACCTCAACTTTTAAAAAATAATAAGATGCTCCCCCCCCTCCACACCACCACACCACCCCCAAGCAAACCACTAAGTGGCTTTTCCAACGGTCCTTGCCTACGACCCCGGGCCAGGACTGGAGCCTCTAGTTTTGCGCGTCTCAGGGGACCCCCAGCCCGGCCGGGTGGCCACGAGCCGGGCATGCAGCGACAGAGGCGGACCGACGGGGAGCGGGGCCAGCAGGAGGCCGCGCGGTCGCGGGGCCGTGTCCTGGCAACCCCGGAACGCGCACCGCGGAGCAGCAGGCGGCCGCGGCCCTCTCGCCCTTGGCTCTCGGCTCCTGGGCAATTACGTGGCGGGCGGGTGCGTTGGTCTCGGCCGCATGCTCCACGGAAGGCCTCCGAGCGCAGACCCGGGACTCCCCTGGAGAAGAGGTTAGGGAGACCCAAAGGTGGAAAAGAAGGAGCGAGGTCCCGGGTGGGCGGGACAGCGACCCCCGCTTGGGCCTGGGGCCAGGACTCGCTCGCTGGAGCGCTGGGGGCGCATCCAAACCAGGAAAGCTGGAGGGAGGAGGCGCGGGTTTAGAGGCCAGAGGTGGTCGACTTTCAGTGGCTTTTGGAGTTTGTTTTGACTGATACCGTTCTTACAAGGGTCTTCTCTTTATCTCCGGGTTGCTTTTACTATTTAAATTAGACGCATGCATAGATGAGACCATGTACAACTGGAAACGGCCCACCTGGCTGCTGTCTCCCCTCCATCTTGAGCGCCACCTACGGCAGAGAGCTGGAGAAGGTTCCAGAGAAAGGAGACACTGGTTTGGCCAAGATGGAGAGCAGATACGGTTGAGTTCTAAGAAATCTGGATGGCTGGGTGTGGATTTGGTTGCCATACCCAAGTATACTGGGGCCAGGGAACACCCACTGAAGTTTAGAAGGAGGCTAGTTTGGGGGCAGAGAGAAAGAACTACTCATGTCTGTATTAACCCAAGGTCTGAATGAGGTAGAAATTCGCATAAGTTACCTCACTGGGTCTCATAACAGCTTGAGAAGTGTATTATAAACGAATAAATGGAGCCAAGAGTTGACCTGCCCGGGGCTTTAGTTAGTAGATGGTGAGCCTGGGATTTGACTTGAGTCTGCTGCTCCCAGAGGCTGTGTCCTTTCATTTTTTTTCCTTTGCTCAGATATTAGTAGATTTGTAATTACTGTTAGTAATCTACTATTAGTAGATTTGTAGTACTGTTTGTGGGATGGGACAGTTCCGGTGGAAATTATGAACAGTGCCAGGAAAGGTTTAAGTTAAATAATGGCTGGTAGCTCCATAACTGGTTAAGGCTGAGAAGGATGTTTGAGCGCACCTTTGCCTTTAGGGAACAGTGTCATGGAACAGAACAGTCACAGTGTCCCAGAAAACCTCTGGGTGAGTCCATACTCAAGTTGTCATTTGCCTGTTATAGGTGAGTGGCCTGCAAGCTGTAAAAAGGGAGTTGTAAAATGTTCGGTCTTTGCCCCATCAGAGCTTAGCTTGGTCCCAGAATGATCTCTTTCTCCTTCAGAGTGGAAAGAGGGGAGGCAGGTACAACTCACTTCACCCACCTATGAGCTGGGACTAGTAAGGAGGAGGATCTGGAGCAGGTAGAACTATTAATATTAATTGTCCACATGCGTCTGGAACAGCAAGGACAAAAGAGTTCTGGGATTCTAACTTTAAGCCCCAGATCTTTCTGCAGTTTCCCGTTTGGCTTGGGGTAAAGGAGGAAACTGCTGTTTTAAGGGTGTGTGCTAGGGAGCTTCCATGTTTCTGAGTTAGGTTCCCTTTTCTGCTTTGTAGATGTGTCCATTCAGGAGCCTACATCCGGGTTCAGTTTAACATGGAGTCCATGAGTTTCAGGAAGGAAGGGGCTCCACAAACCGTTTGAAGATGAACATGCACATGTGTGTGTCTGTGCATTTTCCAGCAGGGAGGGCCCATTGCTTTCATTATTTCTCATGGGGGAGGGGAGTGTGATCCAAAAAAAATGGTTAAAAACCACAGTCCTAGAGCCTTAGGCTGCTTTATGAGCACATAAGCAGGGGTGGGAAACTGAGTGTTTGGTTAAAAGGGTATCCACATCAAATTAATATGGCTTGATGATGTATTATTTTTGTCTGCCAGACAGAGCTATTGTGAAAATCAGCTGAGATGACAAGTGCTATGGTTATGTAAGGTGTTATTCCTGCCTAAAGAAATGGAAATAATTATCCTGAATTCCACAGATGGTATCAAAGAAACAGACTTTCTTCCAAACTCTCCTTTCCCCCCTAAATTCCTTTCTAGTCACCGGAACCTTCTCTTGGTCTTTTTGATTGCGTCATCTTTTCTTATGTCATGGTGTTTTAGAGACTTATTAGAATTTCCTGGCTTAGAGCTTACTTGACATTTATTTCATTTGAATAATAATGTGCATGATAAATGATGAAACTTTCCAGAAGGGTGTTCCTCTTTAGTGTGTTTGTTCCTCCCCACAACCTTATGAACCAGATGAGGGAGAGGGCCAGTCCTGGGAGCTGGGTGTGGAGAGGTAATTGACTTGCTCAAAGTAACAGGACAGTACCCTAGGCAATGGTGTAGTATCAGTATCCGAATGAAAGGATTCAGACTTGTAGTTCCAGCACTCTTCTCCCACCTGAGGAGGGGCAGGGAGGCATCTTGAGGCCATGTTTAAGTGTCTGCAGCTTGGTTGGGCACGGTGGCTCATGCTTGTAATCCTAATACTCTAGGAGGCCGAGGCAGGTGGATCGCTCAAGGTCAGGAGTTCGAAACCAGCCTGAGCAAGAGCAAGACCCCGTCTCTACTAAAAATAGAAAGAAATTAATTAGCCAACTAAAAATACATACAAAAAAAATTAGCCGGGCATGGTGGCACATGCCTGTAGTCCCAGCTACTTGAGAGGCTGAGGGAGAAGGATTGCTTGAGCCCAGGAGTTTGAGGTTGCTGTGAGCTAGGCTGATGCTACGGCACTCTAGCCTGGGCAATAGAATGAGACTCCGTCTTTAAAAAAAAGTAGTGTCTGCAGTTCATGTTTGAGATTGAGTCACTTCTATAAAGATCCTGTAGTCAGCTTGATCTGGAGAGTGTGCTGTTGCTTGTTTAGCAAAGAGATTGCTCTTCCCATCCTTGCCTGTAAGACAAGCCTTCTCTGTTTCAGTAGCCACAGGCCACTTTCTGGAGTGTTGCCACTATAAAACTTATTAAGCAAGCAAGGAAATATGCTAAAGTTTTAGGTGTCATTTCACTGTTTGCTGCACAGTGTCATGCAATACATTTAAATTTTGCTCCTAGAGAACACAATAACAATAAACAAATAAAAAAACCTTGTGAAAGGGGCCTCCCTGATATACCCATAGTGCCAAACAGTTCTTGCTTTGGTGAACTCTCAAGTCCTGTAATGGCAAATACACGATTAAAATGTTTATATACTATGAAAAGGCAGCCACTGTTAAGACCAGTGGGCAAAAATTGTCTTAAGTAAATGATATAATAAGTACCTCAGAACTCAGCATGCAAGTATCAACCTAGAAGACATCTCTGGCCCTGATTTCATTGTTTCTTCACATCCCTGTACATACATTTCAAACATTTTTCACAGATACATATCTGGAAGTGGAACCATTGAGTCAAACAGAATGCACTTCTCATAGGCTTTGGAGGACACTTCTGGCCAAATTGCTCTTCAAGAAGATGAGGACATTCCCACCAGCAATGTACAGGAATGCCATTCCTCTAAGCTCTGCCGAACCTGGGTATTTGCAAACTGGTAGCAAATAATGGTTTCTCGTTTTAAAATTCAGCTCTTTAATCATTAGTATGGGTGAAGTTTTTTCTCAAATTGCCTGTTTGTATGTGGGTGGTTTTTTTTTTTTTTTTACCCACTTTCACAGAAAGCAAGTTTTTTGTTGTTGTTGAGTTACCCGATTGTGTCTTTTGCCCATTATTTTCTCTTTGGGCATTTATTTTCATCTTATAAACTTATAAAAGCTCATGATTTGTAATGACTACTAACTCCTTTTTCTATCATGTAAGTTACAAATTTTCCCCCAGTTTGTAGTTTGCTATGGAAGTTTTAAATGTATATATATAATATATATATGTTCACATTTATGCCTCTTTTCCTTTATTTTGCCTGTATTTGATATCTTTCTAAATAATAATTTCTTGACTCTGAAATTATATAAACTTTCACTGATCTTTTCACTTTATTTTAGTTTTATTTTAATTTTTACATGTATCTCTATAATTCATCTTGATTATTCCATTTTGGGGTAAGATATTTAATTTTATTTTTATTCCAATGGTTAATTAGTTGTTCTAGTAATACTTTCTGAACAATTCATCCTTTCTTCACTGAGATAAAATGCCACTATTACCATATAATATTTTATTCTATGTATGTTTTCTATTATGTTTCATATTTTAAAATTATTATTATTTTTTTTTTTAGAGATGAGGTCTTGCTGTGTTGCCCAGGCTGGTCTCAAACTCTTGGTCTCAAGTGATCCTCCCACCTCAGCCTCCCGAGCAGTTGGGATTATAGGCATGAGCCATTGCACCCAACTATTTTGTTCTATTGATTTATCTGTTAGGGTTTGTGTCAGTACCATCTTGATTATTGTAACATTAGACTACATTTCATAAATTATACTCTATAGCTGTGTAACCCTGAATAAGTTATTTGACATTTCTGGTACTCAATTTCCTTATCTGTAAAGTTATTTCTATTTTATTTGTAATTAGGGATGGCTTCCTTTTTATTTCTTTTCTTTTTTTTTTTACTTTTTTGAGACGTGTCATTCTGTTACCCAGGCTGGAATGCAGTGGTGTGATCATAGCTCATTGCAACCTTGAACTCCTGGACTCAAGGGATCCTCCCACCTCAGTCTCCCGAGTAGCTAGGACTACAGATGCATGCCTGTGTGGCTAATTTTTAAATTTTTTGTAGAGACAAGGTCTTGCTATAGTTGCCCCAGACTGGGGTCTCGACTCTGACTTCAATGGTCTTGCTGCTTTGGCTCCAACAAGGAATTGCTGGGATTCACAGGCCATTGAGCCTGGGCATCCTTATTCTTAATGTATAAGTTTTAGCTCAGTAGTTTTAGAGTCTTTGTTTTTGAACACTGTAACCCATCAATTCTGAGTGGACACTTTGTACAGTATGCCTCTCTGAAGTTGGGTTTGGGTGTTACCAGTGCTGTGGGCCCTGTAGCAGATGTCAGGTAGTTGTCATAGTCTTTCTGTGTGAGCACTGAAGCATGCAGAATGCGTGTCCATAGCTTAGAAGAAAATTCCAGAGGCAAGAGAGAAGCTCTCATTTAAGAAATGCTTGCCCACCGCAACTCATGTTCTGTTGCACTCGATGACCAGCTTGTAGGTCGGGAAAGGGCATATATCGGACTTGAGTTGAAAAGTAATTTGGTTGTCAGACTTTTGAATGTGAATAAGGTTTAAGAATACGCTGTAACAGGCCAGGCGTTGGTGGCTCACGCTGTGAATCCTAGCACTCCGGAGGCCGAGGCGGGCGGATTGCTCAGCTCAGGATTCGAAACCACGCTCAGCAAGAGCGAGACCCTTCGCTTACTATAGAATAGAAAAAATTAATTGTGCCAACTAGTATAATAGAGAAAAATTAGCTGGGGATGCTGGCACGATGCCGTAGTCCCAGCTACTCGGGGGAGCCAGGAGGATTGCTTGAGCCAGGAGTTTGGAGGTTGCTGTGAGCTAGGCTGATGCCATGCAGCCACTCCACTCTAAGCAGGGCAACAAAGTGAGACTCTGTCTCAAAAAAATAAAAATAATAAAAAGAAAGAATACCTTAACTATTTATGTCCTGGCTTAGGTTATTTTCCTTAGAGTCTATATTGTTATATGAGTAGGCTGTACCGTTCGTGACTGTAAAACTCCATATCTAGTAATTAAAGGATGCTTCAATAAGTATAAACAAAATTATAAGTGATAAAGCATTGCATCATAGTTTAATTGGCAGCTTTTGTTCTTTGTGGTATATGAAATAATAATGTTATTATAATTGATGGTGTCATATTCAGCGAAATACAGTATCTGCATTTAAGGCTCCAAGTTTCTAATTACTACTTTAGTTGAATCCCACAAGTTTTGATATATAGTACTTATGTTCATTGATCATTATGCACGTCATGATTTCCATTATGATTTCTTCTTTTGTATGAATTATTTAGAAGTGTGGTTTGAGTTTCCAAGCTTATGGGTGTTTTTTGGCTGTCTTTTTATTATTGATTTCTAATTGTATTGCACTGTGGTCACAGAGTGTGGTCTGTGTCATACTTGTGTTGATACTTCTTTTGTGGCTTAGTATGTGGGTGGTTGCTCCTTTGGCTGCTGGGGGCCTGTCGTCTCCTCCTCAGAGCTCTGCTGGGCTGGACTCCATCCCAGCTGCCACACCTCAAGCAAGCCAGTTGCTGCTCTAGGCTTGGGGGCATATACCAGCAGGCACTTCGCCCACTGGCTGACCTAAGACACCTGGAAGTGCTTCTTAAGCACAGTGTTTTCCAGCCTGTAAGTCTGGGTCATAACCCTGGAAACTTCATGTGGACAAGCTGCCCCCAGAGGTTGATTCTCAAGATCTGGAACATTTCAGGAAATTCTGCCACAGTGGCGAACCCAATGAATGGATAAATGCAGTGCAGTGGTGTTGGGCTGAGATTGAAGAGAGATCATTGCCAAATGTGAACTTAAGAGCTACCAGGGGAGGAGACTTAGAAGAATACAGTCTAGGCTGGGGTGCAGTGGCGTCACGCCTGTATCCAGCCTCCTCTTTGGGAGCTGAGGTGGCGGAGTCGCTCGACGAGTCAGGAGTTCGAAACCAGCCTGAGCAAGAGCGAAAACCCCGTCTTACATAAATAGAAAGAAAATTAATTGGCAAATAACATAGTAATAGAAAAAATTTAGCCAGGCATTGGTGTGACGCCATGCCTGTATCCAAGCTACTTGGGAGCTGAGGGCACCGAGAGCTTGGAGCCAGGAGTTTGAGGTGCTGTGAAGCTAGGCTGACGCACAGCCCTCACTGTAGCCTGGGCAACAAAGTGAGACACTGTCTCAAAAAAAAAAGAAAGAAAAGAAAAATACGGGTTCCCAGGCCTCACTTGGAGAGAGTCTAATCTCTTTCAATAAGTCTGACATGGAATTTGAGAACCTGTATTTCTAACAGGGCTCCCAGGTAATTTTGATGCAGAGAGTCCCTGTGCCAAGCCCTGAGAAATCCCAGAAAGGGAGGATTTTGGAGGGAGGAAGTAGCTCAGCTGAACTTTAAGCTTTGTAGAGTCACAGGCAAAGTTCTTTTAAGAGTGAAGAGTTTGGCCAGGAGCCCATGCCTGTAATCCCAGCACTTTGGGAGTTTGAGGTGGGAGGATCTCTTAGCAGAATCAAGACAGCCTGGCACATAGCAAGACCCTGTCTCTACAAGCAACAACGAGAACAAAAATTAGCCAAGTGTGGTAGTGCATACCTGTAATCCAAGCTATTTGAGAGGCTGAGGCAGAAAGATTGCTTGAGCCCAGGAGTCCCTGGCTGCTGTAGTGAGCTATGACTGCACTACTGCACTCTAGCTGGTGACAGTAAAGTCCTCTCTAAAAAAAAAAAAAAAAACAGAGAGAAAGAAGAAGAAAGAAAAGAAAAAGAAAGAAAGAAAGAAAAGAAAAGAGTGAAGAGTTTGGAAATAAGATTGGGACTTGACAAGAGGGGAAAAGATATGATTCACTTGCCATATGAATTTGCGAGGAAACGAATACAAAACTGTCTAAGTGGCAGTCCTACTGACAGATGGTGGGGGTTTGCACAGGGCACATGGCTTACACTGTTCGGTCATATCCATCAGTCTCGCGTGCACGATCAATCACCATGATGGGAAAAATTTTTTTTTTGTGGCAGCGCGATCGCTCTGTGGCAGGCCTAGAGTGAGTGCTGTGGCATCAGCCTAGCTCACAGCAACCTCAAACTCCCTGCGGCTCAAGGAGTCCTACTGCCTCAGCTCCGAGGGCTGGGACTGACAGGCATGTGCCACCGCATGCCGGATAATTTTCGTATTCATATATAGGTTGGCCAATTAATTTCTTCGGGGTTCATATAGCAAGGGTCTCGCTCTTGCTCAGGCTGGTTTCGAACTCCTGAGCTTGAGCAATCCGCCCGCCTCGGCCTCCCAGAGTGCTAGGATTACAGGCGTGAGCCACCGCGCCTGGCCTAGATGGGAAATATTTGAGAAGAAAACAACACTAAAAAATAACAGTACAACAATAAAAATACAAACTAAAAATAATGTAACAACTATTTATGTATCATTTACATTGGTATCGGGTATTCTCAGTGATCTAGAGATGATTGAAAGTACGGTACACAGGAGGATGTGTGTAGGTTATATGCAAATACTGCTCTGTTTTATATAAGGGAATTGAGCACCTGCAGATTTTGGTATTTAGGGCGTCCTAGAACCAATCCCCTGCAGATACTGAGGGACAACTGAGGCAAGATATTATGTAGGCAAATAGTGGTCAGTCTGAAAATGTACTCGAGTCATAGAAGTTTGACTTTTATTTCTTATAATTTTCTTATAACCCGAGGTTACATTGTGTCTATTGAGCATCTGTGCTCTATGAAGTTATGCCTAAAGAAATACAATGTCTATTCGACTGATGCGTTTTTTTTGTGTGGCTGGACAAGGCATGCAACTCTACAAAACAGTAAGAGAACAGCCTGACTTGCAAAATATTAATTGTATATCAGAGTGAAGAAAATGGGTACGTGTCTTTATCTGACACTCGTTGGCTTTCAGCACTCCCTTACTTGTAATTGTGGGTGGTTGGGAGTTATAATTCTTTTTCATTTAGTCACTCAAGCATTTATTGACCACCTACTCTGTGCCAGTCACTGTTGCAAATGCTACTAAGATGAATAGGAAGTGTGATGAGAATGCATGGAAGTTTCTGAAGGCAGTTCTTTGGGTTGTGATCACCAGCTATATTCATCAGTCTTTCTATGAACACATCCTCTGGAAAATTGTATTGAGGTGCTCAGTATGATGTGATATATAGCTTGATTCAAACCTTATGTCTTCCACTTAGTTTGGAGTCGTGAACTGTGTCTGTGTGTAAGCAGGCTAGTATAGTGGTTAGGATTTCAGGCTTTGGTGTCCACAAGCACTGCGATCGAGTACGGGCCTAGAGGTTTATTTTCTAAGTAAGCATAGGCATGTTGCTAATCTTCTAAGCTTCAGTTTCCTTGCCTGCAAAGTAGGGATGATAAGTAGTATCTATGTCTGTGGGTTGTTATAGGGATTAAATGGGATAATGAGTGTCAAGTGTTGACATAATCCCCAGTACTCAGTAAATGCTCAACAAATGTTAGCTCTTTTTAGAAGAAATATATTTATAATCTAAGAAGCAAGATAGAGTGGTACTTTCAATATTGTAATTAAATGGTAATATCTATGTATTGCAGATGCTAAACACGGTGATTTTCTGGAATCTAAGGGATGCTTTGCCAGTACGCCATCCCTTGGCAAAAGGGTCAGTTTCTCATCTTCTGTTGAAACGAGTTCAAGTGCCAATGAGCCTCTGGGCCTCCCCAGCCTGTCTGCTCACCTAGAGTAAGTAAGCCTCTGCGGAAGAGCTGTCACTGTTGGGGGAAATTCTGACCAAGAAGACAACGGTCTGAGAGGTAGCATGGCATGCTTGGCTAGAGCATGGATTCTGGACTACATTGTCTGGGTTCAAATCCCAGCTCTGCTACTTAGTATCTGTGTGAACTTGAGCAAATTACTTCGCCTCCCTGGGCCTCAGTGTTCTTATCTATCAAATGGTGACAATACTGTATATACCTGAATATAAAACTCCTGCCTAGACATAGCCCCAAGTTTCAAATTGATATATTTAACTGCTTTCTAGCTGTCTCCATCTGGATGTCCCACAGGCCCCTCAGACTCAACATGCCTTTAATGAACTTATCACCACCCATCCCCACAGACTAGATCCTCCTGTATCCCTTGTCTTAGTTGATAGTCTCGGTGTTAATGCAGCTCCAAGGGTGTAGACTCCCGGGTCACACTCATCTCCTCCCATTCATCCAGTTGGGGATCAAGTTCTAAAATATCTTAGACATCCATCTCTTCCACTCTACCTGTATTCCCTCTTCTAGGGTCTGATCATCTCTTGCCTGGTCCACCATAATACCCTCTATATTAGTTATCCACTGCTGCAAATCCCCCAAAACTGAGTGGCTTGAAACAACAAACATTTACTAACTCAGATTTTCTGTGGGTCAGAAATCTCAGCGTACCTTAGATGAGTTCCTATGGCTCCTATGAGATTGTAGTCAAGGTGTTGGCCAGGGCCGTGGGCTCATCTGAAGGCTCAACTGGGGGAGGATCCACTTCCAATCTCACTCACATGGTTGGTGGCAGGATTCAGGTCCCCACAGGCTGGTGGGGCTGGTAGCTCAGTTCCATACTGGCTGCCACCCAGAGGCTTCCTTCAGTTCCTTGCCTCCATGTAGGGCATCTCACGGCATGGCACCTGGCTCTCCCCAGCAAGCAAGGAAGAGCACACACCAGATAGGGCCACGGTCTCTTTGTAATCTAATCTTGGAAGTGACATCCTATCCCTTTTGCTTATCCTGTTCGTTAGAAGTTTGGCACGTGTTTGTTAGAGTCACTAGGTCCTGTCCATGCTCACTGGGCAGAGATTACAGAAGGAATAAATACCAAGAGGCCGGGATCATTGGCAGCCATGTTGGTGGCTGCCTACTACACTCTCCTAACTGGGCTCCCGGATTTAAGTCTTTTTTAAAACTTTTATTTATTGATTTTTAAAATACGTGCTGCCAATAGGATTAAGTCTTATGTTCTTAAAGTCCATTCCTCACATAGCTTCCAGAGTTTTCTAGAACGGAAATTGGACCCTATGTGACCAGGTCATGTCCTTGCCTGCCATTATTCAATGCTACCTCATGAAAGTGTGATAAAGAAGAGTCCAAGCCCCCTCACAGGAAATACAAGTTCTCCAGATCTGTCTTCCTTCTCTTCTCCAGCCTTTGCTCCAATACTCCTGCCGCAACCACATCAAATTCTTCATTTCCCTGCTGTTTCTTCCTTCTATGGAAGGAAGCTCATGCTATCTTTTTTTTGCCTGAAGTGGCTTCCCCCAGTGCCCTTGCTTGTGTTCACATGTTGTAGGAGCTGCTTGGCTCCCGCCGACTTCCTCTGTGCTATGCCCTCTGTTCTGGGGAACTGTTTTTCTCACCTTCTCTATTCAGTTCTGAATGGGAGCTGCCATCTTCTTACATGACTCCACTTCTTGAGTGCGATTGATTTAAGGGAGGGCACATAATCCAAGCTGAACCAATGAGAGCCTTCCCTGAAATTTTTCACCTTGGAGATGGGGGTTAAGATTGGTTGGAAGACTGTGAGAATTTGAATCTGAGACTGTCAGTTGTCTTGTTGGTCTTGTGAAGAAGCTCATAGGCAATTGGTAAAAGCAAAGCCAAGATGTCAAGACAGGCATGGACCAACAGGGGAGAACAATAGTTCTGGAGATGTTGAGCTCTGATTCCAGTTGTCCCCAGCTATACCTTCATCATTGGAACCAATACATCCCTGTAATTGTTTAAACATGGTTTGAGTTGGATTTCTGTCACTTCCACTTTAATTAATATATGTGGCAAATGTACACCCATCTCCTGAGGCTCAGCTCAGGCTAGCCTCCTCCATAAACTCTTTTCAAACATATCCCCTCAAACCTAATTGCATTTGGTGTCCTTTCTGGGCGCTCCTTGTATTTCCTGGAAAGGTTGCTATCACAACATTTACCCACTCTTCCACAGTCATCTGTGTGCGTTTCCATCTCTTCTCCCCCTAGACCAGGTGTCCTCAAACTATAGCCCACGGGCCACAGGCTGCCCTCCCAGGACATTTATCTGGCCCGCCAGGTGTTTTTGCTGCCGCTGCCTGTCCTGCTTAGCAGCCGACTCGTCCCGGGCCCACAGTGCGCACTCTCCAGTGGTCTGAGGGACAGTGAACTGGCCCCCTGTTTAAAAAGCTTGAGGACCCCTGCCCTAGACCCTTGTGGGCAGGAACTGTGTTGAATCATCTTTGGGTCCGCAATGTCTAGAACAGTGCCTGCCACAAAATGTACTCATATAAATGTTTGTTGAATACATGAAGCAGGTGGATACTTCTTAAGTTCTTTTGGAAAATTTCCTTTATCCTTGTAATCTTTTCTACACAGTTGTTCAGCAAAGCCTTTCCCCCCTCATATTTAGGAGAGACATATTTTATTCCAGTGCCAAAATGATGATATATTCTGAACAGGAGGGTGCTGAGTTAGTGAGCTAGGGCTCTCTTCGATTTTTAGTCCATGTAGTCTAGAGTTAGGAGATTTGGGCTGCAGATCCAGCTCTGACCCACCCTGTGGAGGTGTGAAGAAACCTTTTTGTTGGAGAAAGTCAACTTCCCTGAGATATCCCATTTCCTTTTCAAATGGAAATGATGCTTATTGACCCTACCTACATAACAAGATTGTTATGGAACAATCAAGACAAACAGTATGTAATTGCTTTGAAACTATTCAAATATAAGTGTGATGCAACATTATGAAAAAAAAATCCTATGGCTTGATAACAGATAACTATACCTGAAGACATTGTCCAAGGCCATCTATCAAGTGCAAAACCATTGAAACCAGAAGTGATTGCTTTTTCTGCTGACACCCACAGCAGTTCGTTGTGGGCCTTTTTAACTGCTAGAAAATGCAGAACAAAACACAACACTCCCCCATTATAACTGTTTCAGTCTTGGTTTGTTTTGTATTCTTGCTTTCTCTTCTCTGTATTCTTATTGATTTTTTATTTGCATTTAATGGTTTTATTGAACATGCATCTTTTTTTGGCAACAGATTTATTGAAAATTATTTCACATATCATACAGTTCACCCATTTAAAGTGTACAACTCCACGACTTTTAGTGTATTCACAGAGTTGTGCAATTATCACCACGATTGATTTTAGAACATTTTAATCACCGTAGGAAGAAATCCATAACCGTTTAGCAATCACTCCCCATCTCCCTTGTTCCCTTAGCCTGAGACAACCATTAATCCACTTTTTGTCTCTATAGATGTGCCTATTACGGACATTTCATATTCATTGAATTATCAATATGCAGTCCTTGGTGTCTGGCTTCTTTCGCCTGGCATAATGCTTTCAAGGTTCATCCATGTTGTGACGAATATCAGTATATCATTCCTTTTTAACAATTGTAGTAAAAAATATATAGCATAACATTTGCCATTTTATCCATTTTAAGTGTACAATTCTGTGGCATTAATTGCACTCATAATATTGTGCAACCATCACCACTATCTATTTTCAGGACATTTTTATCACTCCAAACAGAAATTCTCTACCCATTCAGCAATAACTCAACATTCTTCCCTCTCCCCAACCCCTGCTAACCTCTAATTTACTTTCTGTTTCTATGAATTTACCTATTTTAGATATTTCATTTAAGTGGAAGCATACAATATTTATTCTTTTTTATCTGGCTTATTTTGCTTAGCATAATGTTCTCAAGGGTCATCGTAGCATGTCTTCAAACTTCATTCCTTTTTATGCTGAATAATATCACATTATATGTACATACCACATTTTGCTTCTCCATTTGTATGTTGATGGACACTTGGGTTGTTTTCACTTTTTGGTTATTATGAATAATGCTGCAATGAACATTCACTTACAAATATCTGTTTGAACCTCTGTTTTCAAATCTTTTGGGTATGTACCTCAGAGTAGAATTGCTGGGTCGTATGATAATTCTATGTTCAACTTTTTGAGAAACCACCAAATTGTTTTTAATCAATGTATTTTTTAAAATATATTTCAGTCCCCTCAAGTTGTGGAAAAATAAATTATATGCTCAGGGACTTTTACAGGGGAGTAGTCCCACTTCTCATAAGTGAGAGCAATTCTAGCATAAGATATGTAAGATCAGTTTCTAACTACCAGTTTAAGCACATAGAAAAAATCTGGGCCGGGCGCTGTGGCTCACGCCTGTAATCCTAGCTCTTGGGAGGCCGAGGCGGGCGGATTGCTCAAGGTCAGGAGTTCGAAACCAGCCTGAGCAAGAGCGAGACCCCGTCTCTACTATAAATAGAAAGAAATTAATTGGCCAACTGATATATATATACAAAATTAGCCGGGCATGGTGGCGCATGCTTGTAGTCCCAGCTACTCGGGAGGCTGAGGCAGAAGGATCACTGGAGCCCAGGAGTTTGAGGTTGCTGTGAGCTAGGCTGACGCCACAGCACTCACTCTAGCCTGGACAACAAAGCGAGACCCTGTCTCAAAAAAAAAAAAAAAAATCTGATTCTTCTTTTCTTTCCAGCACTGCTGCAGATTTGGATCAGAAATCCTCCCCCTCCTCACATTCTGATCACTCCTCTGAAACCTCATTGCCTGAAGTCCAAAAGGATACATATCCCAAGGAATTCAGCCTGCTTAGGTTGCAGACAAGTAAGTCATAGACACTCCTCCGCGTGCCTCTGTACCCAGGGACTTTTTAGAAATCTGCCATACTGTGGCTGCGGTCACTGAAGACTCCCGAGTGCCAGGCATTTGACACGCCTTATCTCTACTTCTCCCAGCAGCTCTGCGGGGGAGTTATTGTTACACGTTTCTCAAAAATGAAATGCCTTTATATAAAACCTGTTAAAGTACTGCAGCAAAATATTAAAATAATATAGATGTATATAGACGTATAAAAACCCACTCCTCAATATTCTCCAACAATATCCCTATTCTGTATAGCTGTGAAGAGTTGATATCTATTTTTCCAGAATTTTGAAATGTATATGTATGTGTATGCATAAACACATGTATACATATACTGTTATAAAATAAATCAGTCGTAGTATACAGACTCTTTTTAATCAGCAGTAAATAGACCATGGACTTCTTTCTCTGTCATTACATAGAAGATCTATGTGGCTAATATAGACCTACCCATTTTACAGAGAAGGAAACTGAGGCTTGGAGAGATTCAGTCACCCATACAGCCGCATAGCCAGGAAGTAGAGCAATGTGTGATTAGAACCCAGGCTTGCCTGCCTCCAAAGCTTGTGTTCTTTCTTGGTTACCCCAGAGCCCAAGTATTTCCCAAGCAATCCTAGAGCTGCCAGGGGATCTTTTATTGTTTAAAAACACCACTAGCAATCTTAGAGGACAAGTATCAAATGATGAAACAGAGGCACTGAGGGGTCCAGTAACTAGCCTGAGGTCTGACAGCAGCTTTTCTCATTTGATGTTACCGCGTGTGTACACTTCCTGGTGTCACTGTATGTAGCACGTGTGCGTGCTATTGCTGCAGTCGACACTATGTTCCACCTACTTGAGATGCCATTGTTGGCTAGCCATTCCCTGGTTGAGGGGCGTTCTATTTTTCCTACGCAGTTATCAGAGTGAAGGTTGGATCAGAGATGCTTGCAAGACTGTCTCTGAACTTCCCCCAACCCATACATAACTTCCAAACATAGCATTGGCTTTATTTTTGAAGGAGAGATTAAAGAGGGGGGAAAATGCAGCCTCTTAGGTCACTCCCCCCCCCCACTTCTCTTCCTTTTGTGCCTAGTCCCACAGAGGTTGACACTGCCCCGATGTAGAACCAAGGGATTATACAGGTTGATTAAAGAGGGAACAGCCAGATAGCACCTGGGGAGTTTTTTTTACAGCTTTTTGTCATCCAATTGCATTGTGAGACTGGGAGCAGCACTAATGGAAGGATTTCTCATGCCTTGCAGAAGACGGGCAGCGTCCAGAGTGGACATTTTACCCGAGGTTTAGCAGCAATATCCACACCTACCATGTTGGAAAGCAGTGCTTCTTTAATGGGGTCTTCCTCGGCAACAGGAGGACTGTAGCAGAGAGTACGGTGGACAAGAGCTTGGGGAGAAAGAAATACGGTAATGTTTTTTCCTCCTGGGCTTTAACTGTGCAATGTCTGAAAAACCCTTGAGTCATGATTCTGCAGGCCCCACGTGCTGTAGCTGGGGGCAGCCCTGCGGAGTCACCATGTCACCTAGAACAGCCAGGAGGATGGAAAAGTGAAGGGGACAGTTGCCATGCTACATGTTTTGGCAAAGAACTCACAACATATGTTGATCCACATTTTCATTTTTCTTTGAATTTCATAAAATGCTAATGTGACATTTAAGTCATCAGAGAAGTTTTCTCAGATACTTATTAATAGAAACCCTTATTGAAGTCTGAAGAAAATAATTTCTGTTTCCATTAGATGCTGCCTGGCATATGCATTTAAATTGTATTTTATATTCTCCACAAGGAAAACATCCTGTAAACCTCAGCCTGAAGTGCATGCTGTTATTTTATAGCTTTAATTTAATGAAAAGCTATTGAGATGAATATATGTCTGTCTGTCTATCTGACTGTCCATATCCCCTTGGTTTGTAGGTTGGTGAGTTCTCCGCCTGAACCTCCCCAGAATAGATTTATTGAAAGGCCCTAAAATTTTGCTGAGTACCAACAGGCCATTTATGGCACACTCTTCTGTGGCAATATCTGTGTAGGAGGCAATTGCTTCGGCGCTGAATAGGATTGCTGTGGCAGGACTATAAAGAGGAACAAGTAGAACATTCCATTTTTGAGTTTTAAACTCATAGCAGAGACAAATAGTTTTGAGAATTGAAATTTTTATTTATTTGGATGGAGAATGCATGAAAAGCCATTGTAGATGAGCTGGGAGAGGGGTCACTGATATGGGGTCTTTGAGGAGTCCTGTAGCCTGCATTCCTGAGCTGCAGGTACATATCACAAGTAAATGGCATTATCCTAACGCTCACCCATCACTCCCCTCCTAACTCAAAAGTAAATCTTTTGCTGAATTTTGTGTTTATTATACCTTTCTATTCCAACCTTTCCTCCTCCTTCCTCCCTTCTTCCCTTCCTTCCTCCCTCTCTCCCTCTCTCCTTTCCTTCCTCCTTCCCTTCTTTCCTTCCTTTCTTTATGGTTTTATAAATACTAAGTAAATGCAAAGGCATATTTATGAACTATTTGTTGCATATACAGAATAAAATACCACGAATACTTGTGTGCTTCTTAACCCCCATTTAAGAAGTAGAATATTATCTTTACATTCGAAGCCTCTGATATGTCTTTCCCTGAATACTACATCTTTCTTCCCCTCACTCCAGAGGTAACCCCTATTTTACATTTTTTAAAGTGAAAAACTTTTTATTAGGTAGATTTTCAAATATGTGTCAAAGGAGAGAGAATAGCATAATGAAACCCAAGGGACTCATCCACTTAGCTTAATAATTATCAACATGTGGCTAGTCTTGTTTCATCTTTATCCCTCTCCCAGGGATTATTTTATTTTATTTTATTTTATTTTATTTTATTTTATTTTATTTTATTTTATTTTATTTTTTGAGACAGAGTCTCGCTCTGTTGGCCAGGCTAGAGTGACTGCCATGGCGTCAGCCTAGCTCACAGCAACCTCAAATTCCTGGGCTCAAACAATCCTGCTGCCTCAGCCTCCCAAGTAGCTGGGACTACAGGCATGAGCCACCATGCCCAGCTAATTTTTTCTATATATATTAGTTGACCAATTAATTTCTTTCTATTTATAGTAGAGGTGGGATCTCACTCTTGCTCAGGCTGGTTTCGAACTCCTGACCTTGAGCGATCCGCCCGCCTTGGTGCTAGGATTACAGGTGTGAGCCACCGTGCCCGGCCCTCCCAAGGATTATTTTAAAGCAAATTCCAGACATCATACCATTTCATCTGTAAATATATCATGTACCTCCAATGGATAAGGATTATTTTTAACTACAATTCCATATCACAATATCGTATCTTAAAAATTAACAATAACTTCTTAATATGATCATTCAGTGTTCAAATAATCAGTTGTCTCATAAATGCCATAATTTGAGAATATTAATTTGTTTAAATCAGTATCCAAATAAAGCCCACACATTGAAATGGGTTGGTATGCCTCTTAAGTCTTTTTTTTTTTTTTTTTTTCTTGCAATTCATTTGGTGAAAAAACTAGGTTTTGTCCTGTAGTGTTTCCACAATCAGGATTTTGCTGATTACATCCCTTGGTACCATTTAACAGGTTCCTCTTTCCTACATCTTTTCTGTAAACTGGTGGCTGGATCTACAGGCTTGATTCATTTTAGCATGATTACTTCTTAGGTGATGTTGTACAATGACTTCTTTAAACATCAAATGCAATGGTCTTTTTCCATCTTCTCTGCCTGGATCTCACTGCAGCACTT